TATTTTCTGGGGGATCTGGGGTTCTGTGGCATTTCCACATCCATCAGAGAGGGGTCTGGAGATGCAAAAGCACATGGAGATGCTGGGGGTTGATCCCAGGGCCTCTTGCATGCAAAGCAAGCGCTCTTCCGCTGAGCTACATCCCCCTGGCGCAGCCTCTGCCCTGGCRCTGTCCTCACYCCKAGAAAATCCCTGTCTCTGCTGCCTTGCCCTGCTCCCCAAGCTGGGGAAAGGGGATTGATGATGTTGCAGACCCTGAGRATCMMTCAGGTACCACTGGGCTGGCGAAGGGGTTGGAATGGGGGAAATAACTCTGGGGCGGAGCAGGGATGTGGTGTTCTGGGCACAGCCCCCATGTAAGAGGCCAAAGCGTAGCTGTGCCCTGGCTGTGTCCGCAGGCTGCACTGCAGGGCGGGTCGRAGGTGGCGAGTGGGAATGTGTGGCCACGTTGGCAGTGCGCTGAGGGGCGCCGTGGTGAGCAGAGGATGGCGAAAAAGAAGGGCTCGTCCGGGATTTGAACCCGGGACCTCTCGCACCCTAAGCGAGAATCATACCCCTAGACCAACGAGCCGAGGTGTGGATAKTCTCCTGCACCCCCCCGCTGTCCCGGGACATCCCGGACAGTTTCCCGCTTCCCGGCAAATCCCGGCGCTGCCCCCACCGCCCGCACGGGTGTCCCCCGCCGCGGGGCCGGGGCTGTGGTGGCCGAGGGGTGAAGGGGCTGGACKCGYAAACCCAGTAGGGATTCCCTACGCACGTTCGAATCTTGCTCACAGCGCTGGTTTGTACCCGCTATTCATGGTGGGGTCCTGCGAGGAGCTCTATTCYGGCCAGGAGCAGTGGTCATTTTGCAGTGACTTGGTAGCCCCATGTGGTAACTATAGAATCTTGCTGATTTCAGAAGATTCTTTTCTTTCACCTGTTAATTGCTGCTGGTTACTGCTGCCACCTGCCAGCTTTTTTGCCCGGAGCTGCTCCAGGCACAGCAGGGCCAGTACCATGGTATTTATCCAAGCCCCTTTCTGTCCCCGGGCCATAGATCGATTCAGTTAATGAGAAACTATGGCTTGGGAAAGAGGTAATGGGTTGGCTGCTGAGAGGCTTTTGCTCCGCACTGGCACAGGAAAGGGCAGGAAACCCACAGGGTGTGAAGAACCGAGCCGGGGGCTGCGGGGTGCAAGCAGACCCTGGGACCATGTCCAAGCTGGTGGAGTGCGTCCCCAACTTCTCAGAGGGGAATAACAAAGAGGTGAGAGAGTATGTGGAAGGGCTGAGAGGTAGGTGACACCGGGGTGTGACAGCCAGGTTTCCCCTCCAGGGCAGTACCCACTGCCAGACTCTGCTGTGCCTCCTTCGCAGTGCTGTGCACCTCTCTATACCTGGCTATTGCCAAAAGTGCCTAAAGGTACCCTCAGCTCCCTTTTGTCACCTCGGTGAGAAGTGGGGGCTCAGACCTCCCTCCACCACTGCCTGCAAGCTGCTGTAGCACCAGGTCTGGGGTTGGTCTGGGATATCTCTGCAGAGAAATACTACTTGCAGTTGTGCCAAAAGACATTGTCCAGGTGAATAGAGTCTATCCTGGGGATCAGTATTTGACTGACCTTTGTCTCTGCCAGTGGCAGGAGGATTTAACAAATCCAGCATGRCTGTAAAAGCACAGATTCCCCCAGGGAACAGGCTTTGCAGAGACTGATCTCTTGGGAAGCTGGCAGGGAACTGTTTCCTCAGGAACAGCGATCTGTGGTGGTGCTCTCTGACATGCAGCAGCAGCTGGCTGTCTCTGCCCCACCATGACGCRTTTGGGGCTTGCTGGGAGCCAGGGGTGCCCCAAACCCTGTGTGGGAGTGGGATGCTCATGTCTTTGCATTTTGCACTCTCTGTGGCACAGGGCACCCTGTCCCACGTGCATAMCCCCCATCATGAGGGGGAAGGGAGAGAGCTGAGGTGTCCCCTCTCTCAAAAATCCAAGGCTGTGGTGCAGACTCAGACATCTCAACTGCCTTGYTTCCATCTGCTGTCCGGCAGGTTATTGATGCTGTGGCACAGGCCATCTCTCAGACACCGGGGTGTGTGCTGCTGGACGTGGATGCCGGTGCCTCCACCAACCGCACTGTCTACACCTTCGTGGGATCCCCYGAGGCTGTGGTGGAAGGGGCACTGAGTGCGGCCCGCGTGGCTGGGCAGCTCATTGACATGAGCCGACACGCAGGTGAGCCTGGGGGAGGCCCAGGAGCTGGACTGGATGCTGCAGAGCATCCCTGTGCTGGGACCAAGCATGGCACTGCAACAAGGACTGTGGTCCCAAGCCTGACAGAATTTAAGAAGTGTCTGCAATGCTCTCAGGCACATGGTGAGATTGCTGGGGTGTCCTGTGCAGGGCCAGGTGTTGGACTCAATGATCCTGGTGGGTCTTTTCCAACTCTGATTCTAGGATTTCCTCACAGAGAGTGTCCCGTCTGTAGAATGGAAAGGATTGTTCTCTCTCCTTGTCTGCTTGCTTTTCCCACCTCTCATTCCTTTACCTGCCCCACCACCAGGTGAGCACCCTCGGATGGGAGCCCTCGACGTCTGCCCCTTCGTGCCAGTAAGGAACGTCAGCATGGAGGAGTGTGTCACCTGTGCCCACATCTTTGGGCAGCGCTTGGCAGCAGAGCTGGGGGTGCCTGGTAAGTGGGGTCAGGAACCTCTCCACATCCCATCCCATCCTGTGTGATTCCAACTCACTCCTTGGCTGTATCTTGCAGTTTACCTGTAYGGAGCGGCGGCACGGGATGAGAGCAGGAAAGCCCTGCCCTCCATCCGTGCTGGGGAGTAYGAGGCGCTCCCTGAGAAGGTGAGCCTGGCGGTGGCACAGGCTGAGCTGTGCTTCCCTGGCTTCAGGGAGCATGCTGGGGGCTGGTATAGTCCCTCTGCACCACGAGGAGCTGGTGACACAAGTGGTCATGGCAGATTCCAGCTGTGAAGGGAGATGCCCTCCCTGGGAGAATGGCTCGTGCTGCTGTGCGGTGCTAGCCCACATGCTCTCCTCCYTCCTCCCCAGCTTGCAAAACCAGAGTGGGCTCCTGATTTTGGGCCCCCRACATTTGTTCCCCGGTGGGGGGCCACAGTGACGGGTGCCCGGACCTTCCTCATCGCRTACAACATCAACCTGCTGTGCACCAAGGAGTTGGCTCACCGCATCGCCCTCAACATCCGCGAGCAGGGCCGCGGCCCCGATCAGGTACCCTGCGAGCACGGGCGTGCTGGGAGCATGCCTGCTTATCCCCACACCTCCTGGGCCATGCCCTGAATGTGGCAGTTGTTGGCAGCCCGGGCGCTTGAAGAAGGTGCAGGGCATCGGGTGGTATTTGGAGGAGGAGAACATGGCTCAGGTTTCGACGAACCTGCTGGACTTTGAGACCACGCCGCTCCACGCTGTCTACGAGGAGATCTGCCGAGATGCACARGTGGGTGGCCTGGGGTGCTTGTTCCAATCGGGGGCTTCCCAGAGGATGGCTCCCACCAAGTTTTCTTCCCCACCCCCAAGGTCAGGCTATGCTTTTTCTTACGCTTAGCTCAAAGTTCTGAATGGCACAAAACCCCCAAAAGCTCAGCAACTGGCTGCTTGCCTCCAGCTATTCTGTTGAAGGCTTTTCCATGAGCTTGCCTTGTCCTGGGAAGGGATGACGATCACCAGACTGGGCCAGTAGTGGCAGCAGAGCTCTGGGGATAACCACATTTCTGATGTGATTTTGCAGGAATTGAATCTTCCTGTGGTGGGTTCCCAGCTGGTGGGGCTTGTTCCCAAGAAGGCCATGCTGGATGCAGCCGAATTTTACATCAAGAAGGAAAAACTCTTCATCTTGGAGGAGGAACAGAAGATCAGGCTGGTAATGTGGCTTCTCCYGGTACCAGCACAAGGGTGGGATCATGAGAGACACATCCACTCTCTGCCAGCCTCCCTAAGTGTCACTGAGCAGAGACTTGGGATTCTTGAGGCCCCAGGCAAGACACTTGTCTCCTGGGAGGATTTTGTGGGGGACAGCAAGAGAGACAAAGTGGCTTTATTGTRCTGAGGATGCTGAGATGCACAGGGAACAGGGACCACAACCCCTGTGGACTGAGTGTGGGCAGCAACTGCCTGTTTTGCCTGTATGGAGGCCAGGAGGGGAAGGAGGTGTCCCCACAGCTCAAGGACAATGTGTGGCATTATGGGAAGCCGTCCCAGGATGGGGAGTTAGTTGGAAATGAGGAGAGGCTCTGCTGTTCCACTGCAGGAGGGAGGAGCTTTTCCAGCCTGTGGGGAACGTGCTAGATAAGAGCAAGCTAATGATTTATCGGTGCAGTTCCCAGCCATTCGTAGGTGACCGCACACCGCCCCCGAGTCTGGGATGGGATAGGCTGATGGTGCCAGCTCTCCTCTCCCTGGGTGGTGGCCCAGTCCCCGTGCTGACTCAGCCATGGTTAATTAGCAGTGGGGAATGAGGATGCAGCAGGACTTATCGCGACAGGGCTGACGTAGCGGTGCTGCTCCTTGCAGGTGGTYAACCGGCTGGGCCTGGACTCCCTGTCTCCGTTTCACCCCCGGGAGCGGATCATCGAGTAGGGACCCACATCCTATTTCTTCTCATGGTGCCCCTCCCTGCCTGGATGGGGGGGATCCTGCTGCTTGAATCCTGCACTTGGCTTGTGTTGGGAGTGGTGACTGCTCCCAGTTTCTCTTCACAGCCTGGGGATGTGTGATGTGCCCCATGTTGTGCATGAGCAGGGTGGTCCCTGCTGATGGTTATGAACATGGAGTTGTGACCTGGGGGCACTCCAGGTCACTTGAGCAGGCAGTGGGAGCAGCTTTCTTGGCCAGATTTGAATGTTAAATTCCTCATCCTGTCCCCTGCAAAATTTCACTGCTTCTGGCAGTACCTGGTGTGAAACATGCCTGTGTGGGGAAAGGAAGGCAAATCCACCCACGAGGTAAAGTCCTTGTCAACCCCCCTGGGACATGGCTGCAGGGGTGTTTCTGTCCCACCAAATGCCATTTGCATCAGCCCRCCCTGCCTAATGCAGAGCAAACCCCACACCATCTGTTTTCCTCAGATGTCCCCATGGGTTTCCCAGTCCTCATCCTGACCCTCAGGCTGTTCTTTTTGGGTTAGTCCTCTGCTTATTTACGGGGTTGATGCTGGAGAGGGCAGTGCTGGGTGAAAAGGATCCAGGTGGTAGTGGTATCCCTGCACCTGGGATCTCTAAACCACCTCTGCTGCAGGTACCTGATGGAGGCAGGAGAGGTGGACGGGGGGCTGGTGGCCAAGCCACTGCGCGCCTTTGTGCGAGCAGTCGGAGCAAGGTCGGCAGCACCAGGAGGAGGCTCCGTGTCTGCAGCTGCGGGAGCCCTGGTATGTGCCCCACACTGAGACAGAGGCCTGGGGGTCCTSAAGGTGCCAAGGGCAGCTGGCACGGCAACAGCAGTGGGCACTGTGTCCTACTGAAGGATTTCCCCTGGCAGGGAGCAGCGCTGGGCAGCATGGTGGGGCTGATGAGCTACGGGAAGCGGCAGTTTGAGGACCTGGACCCCATCATGAGGAAGCTGATCCCCCCCTTCCACCAGGCCATGGATGAACTGGTGGCSATGGTGGATGCTGACTCCTGCGCCTTCAACAGCTACATGGTGAGTGAGGTCCCACCCTCTCCAAAAAGGCTTGCTCTTTTAACACTTCCAGCATTCTAAACCCTGGGTCAGGGGAAGGAACATTGCCACATAAAGGCAGATTGGGACACCATGTGAGCTATAGGGCCTGCCCTCACCTCGATGCAAGGCACCGTCTTGGTGATGGCAGCAAACCTGCTTTTCTTTCCCTGCAGGAAGCCATGAAGCTGCCCAAGAACACCCCTGAAGAGCGGGAGAGGTGAGCTGCACTGCTGGGGACTGGCTCACTGTGGGGGCACAGCCACCCAGCACTCACCCAAGGGCTGTTGCCACTCCTAGGCGCACGGCTGCCATGCAGCAGGGGCTGAAGACAGCCGTGGGGGTGCCCTATGGGCTGGCAGAGAAGGTGACTGGCCTCTGGCCTGCTCTGAAGGAGCTGGCACGACACTGCAACCTGGCCTGCAAATCTGACATCCAGGTATGGCCCATGCTCACCTGCAAGGTGTTCCCTCATGTCCTGACCTCCAGGATTCATCGTCTCTCCAGCTGTRCTTCCCAAACTGGCCGGTGGTCTCCACCCCAAAATTCTGTGGCAGCCATTTCCTGAGAATTGAATGGCGCTGYGTGCCCCTGGGTGGTGGGAATCCTGCAGCGTGAGGGTCTGACCTTGTGCAGGGCTGCACGGTGGAGCTGCTCCACCAGGAGAGCTTCTCCCAAGCCCGATCTTTCGCAGGTGGGAGCCAAAATGCTGGAAGCGGCCGTGTTCGGAGCTTACTTCAACGTGATGATCAACCTCAAGGACATCGCGGACGACAAGTTCAGGCGTGAGGTGAGGGCGGCGGCGCGGGCGCCCCCTGGCGGCGCGCGGGCGGGTGGCGGCTCCGCTGTCCCCTCGGGTGSCAAATGACACACACCTCGTCCCCACGCAGATGGCACAGAAGGTCTCCGGGCTGCTGGAAGAGGCGAAGCAAGGCTCGGCGGTCGTGCTGGCGCTGCTGGACAAGCGGATGGCCTGAAAAGGGCTCGGGAACGTTATGGGGGGTTCTGCAGTGKCAAATAGAGCTGGCAAAGACATCTGTCCCCGCCTGGGCTCTGTTGGTGTCCTCCTCTGGAGAGCTGCTCTGCTCGGGCACGTCCGACATCGTGTCCCCTAATGGCCTCTCCCTGGACAAGGGGAATTTTTGCTGTCTGGGGCTGKGACTCCAGGCTCCGTTCCCCCATCCCTGGGGCAGAAGCAGATGACTGGGTTGGCAGTGCCTGGGATCACAGTGASCCAAACAGAAGGGATAGTCGGGACCCTGTGGCACTGCCTGCGAGGAAATCCCTGTGCATGTGCACCTCCTGACCCTGCACAGTCCTGTGTAWTTCTGTGTCCAGAAAACCCCATGAAACACCCTCCTACTCAGGATCTGGGGGAAGACCTGGCACAATCCCTTTCTGCCAGGTGTCTTCCAGGCTGTGTGTGACAATTCCAGCCTGTTGCATTGCCTGGGAAGGGAGCACTGCCAAACATGAGGCACTATCAGATGTTAGTGGGAAGATGGGGTGGATTGGGATGGGAGAAACCCAGCATCCTCCTCATAGAKCCTCCAAGAGGAAGACGTGAAAATCGGGGCATCCAGCCCTGCTTTCTGTCCCTGTCGAGCGGGTGTGGCAGCAGATATTGTGTTCTCCACCCACACACGGGGACAGCGCGCTGAGCAGTGTCCGGACCCTGCACCCCAGTGTCCCGCAGCCCCATCTGCGGGAAGGTCACCCCTGCTCCTGGGCACTGTGCCCGGGCTGGGAGCAGCACGCCAGGGTTCGTGGCGGGGTCAGCTGACTCACTGCATCCATCCCTGGGCGCTGGGAGCCGCAATCACCGCCCTCCATCTCCTGTTTGTCAGCCCCGCGGGACCTTTGTGCCGCCGGGGAGCGCCGTGTTGACGTTCCTCGTGTGCCCATGGTGACGGCGCGGTGTCACCGCTCCGGTGTCACCCCTGCCCGCCGCACCCTGCTCACCGGGGCAGGGCCCCGGTATTTAACGGGCGCCCGGCAGCCGGGAGAGCCGTGCCAAGGACGGTGATCCCGAGCGCTGCCGGCATCGCCTCCTCCGGGAACTTTTCCGCAGGTTTGGTGAGTGCGGGGCAGCGGGGGAGCATGAGGGCAGCAGGCACCCGTGCGTCAGGGTGTGCTGTCCCCAGGGCTGGCACTGYACCCAGAAACGTGTCCCCAGTCCCTTGTGGTCCATGAGGACACGAGCTGGGCACSCAGGCTGGGCCAGTGTGGGTTTGTTATTTCCACTGTCAATGGATACCACACGTCTGGGCTTTGGGGGGTGCATGGAGGGGGACACAGTCGCAATGGGGGTTGGCTCTGTCACCAAAGGACAGGACGGCTGTTGGGGTCTGTGTGGGTGTGGAACTCATGGGGAAGCAAGTGCTGTGCTGGGGTCAGACATGTGGGATAGAGAAGCCAGGTCCCAGATGCCCGACAGGGGCCAGGTGATGTCCCACAGCAGGAGGTGACTGACRGTGCTTGTCCTTCCCTTTCAGCTCAGAGACCACTGAGGATGTGTGACCCCAACCAAGGTGAGGGGCTGTGGTGCCAGGCAGGGCTGGGGGTTCCACACAGCCATCAGGGCTCAGAGASGAGCTCTGTGCCACAGCTGCAGGCACCTGGGGCATCACCTGTGTCCCAAAGGGGTGTGGGTTGTCCTTTGTGAAGAACAGGAGGACTGGGACAGGCCCTTTGGGTGGAAGGGTGAACCTGGTCCCTGTACTGTCGGTCTGGGGATGCTGTCTGTGCCCACTAACAGCCCCCTCTTCTTCCCAGGCCCACCACGACCGTACCTGGCAGTGTGCCCTCCTGCCCCTCCAGGATACCCCGGTCCTGGCACGGGTCACTACCCTGGTGGCCTTGCAGTGTGCCCTCCTGCCCCTCCRGGATACCCCGGTCCTGGTACAGGCCCCTGCCCTGGCGGTGTTGCAGTCTGCCCCCCGTGCCCTGCTCCGCCTGGCCAGCACCCCCACGGGCACCCCCACGGGCACCATCCCCACGGGCACCCCCCRTCGGGGCATCATCCCCATGGGCACCCCCACCCGGGACCGCCAGGAATGCAGGTGTGTCCCCAGGAYGGCCACAAGAAGCACCACAAGAAGCACCATAAGAAGCACCATGAGAAGCACTGCAAGAGCCACGGAGGCAAGGTAAGAGGGTCACAGCAGGAGAGCCTCCCCTAACCCTGCTGTGGTCTTTTGGACCCCCTCCCCATTTCACAGCATCCAGCCTGAGTGGCTGGGACTCTCCTCTGTAGTGGCTGGAGCAAGCTGCCAAAGCTTCGGTGGCTTTTTTTAGACATGGAGACTCCTGTTAGATTAATAAACAGGCAAGAATGAGTCACATTAAGTGAGTCATTTAAAAAGCAATCCATGAAATTCCTTGAAGCTGTTTAAAGTGGTGACATGGTTTGGGGTGCACAGTGTAGTGTATTAATTCCCAGGACTTTGTCCTGCTCACCTAAGAGCAAGTTGTGCCTCCGTAAGGGACATTCACTTGGTGTCTTGCAACAGGAGAACTGTTCAGTTCGCTCTTAAAAACAAAAAACCTCACAAAAAAAAACCCAAAAACAAAAATTAAAAAAAAAAATTAAAAAAAAAAAACAAACCAAAACCAAAAAAGGAGAAGCAATTCCTTGTGCTGGCAGTAGACTTTGCAGAAAATGCCATTCCAGGGCTGGGCACCATCCGCAGCAGGTCTGAATGAGGAACTGCTGAACAAACCCTGAGTTCCAATGTTGGAGGTGAGAGCATTTCCCAAACAAATCAAACAAGCAGYTCCTCTCACTGGGAAACAGCTCTGGAAGGGATCTGCTGTGATGTTTGTCCTTGCTGGCAGAGAGCAAGACCTTTCTGGAATTTCCTTTATTGACCTAAAGAGCCTTGTGAAAAAATAATAAAAAACCCTCAGCGCTCCTACTGTGTGGGGCAGCCACCACAGGGTCACTAACCCCTCTCAGGAATGCTGTGACAGAGCCTCGTTCCCCTGCTGCCTTAAGTTTGTTCTCTCTCCCCCAGCACTCCGGTGGCTCATGCAGCTCAAGCAGCAGCAGCTCTGACTCTGACTGAACATCTGGCATGTCCCACCCGCACCGTGGTGATCAGCAAAGCATGAGGCCCAGCTCCTCATGGGACCCCTCTGCAAGTTGCTTCCCTTCCTCCCCATTTCCCTTGGATTGATTTGCCTTGTAAATCCTTTGACCTGGAATCTCTGAGTCAATGGACAGCATTTCCACCCTCTGTCTTTCGGGGAAGTCTGCTGAAAGTCATCATGTGCCTTTTCCAATCTGTTGGTGTCCGTGTGTTTTTTCCTGGGTGGTGATGCTGGTGGCTAACAGGATTCCACAAAACTCCTTACATTTGTGTGAGCTTCCCCAGGTATAGCAGAGCTGTAGTTTTGTGGGCTGCCTTACTCCAGGGTAATAAYTTACAGGGAAAGGCTCAACATGGCAGAGGGAATCTCCAGTGAACAGGTGAGGAACATGAACAAGGTCAGTGCTWGGAGCAGTCTGYGTCCCTGCCYRTGGCAGGAGGAGTGCAATGAGATGGTCTTTCAGTTCCCTCCCAAGACAAACCATTCTGTGATTCCATGATTATCTGGATTTACCRGCTTGAAAGCAGGAGAATCAGCTGCTCACTGAAAATAATTAAAAAAAATCTTCAAAATTACAGAATAAAAGGCTTTTTCAGGATAGGGTKAGAAAGGTTTGTTTATTTTTGCTGAGAGCACAATTCAAGTTCAAATCTGGGTATTGCTCAGCAGATACCGGTGGGAGGAAGGTACCGTGAATGCTTTGAGCACACTGGGATGACTGGGAGGCAGCTCTGGTGGCTGTSCAGTATTTTGTGGATGCTGGGAGTCATGCTGCCCCTCTCAGCTAAAATTTGGAGTGCAGTAATAGATGAGCAGGTTCTGATGAAGGACAGAATGACAGAGGAAATTGAAGGAGTTATGACTCACAGGAAAACAAAGATCTTAAAGATGATTTGCAAAATTTAAGATAGTTAAATACCCCCAAAGGAGCACCTGTGGAAGACAGCAAAACAGCTCACACCATCCTGCTGTTCCCAGGAAGGAGGAGCAGGACACACTGAGGGATATTGAGAGTTTTTGAAAGCTAGAGTTATTCATTGGTCCTGCTACACTCGAAAGGTTTCTTGCATCTCTGATAAGCCCTCCTAGGATTACAGTACGTACACAAGTCATGGCTTGGKGTGTGCAAAGCTTTACAGAAGTACATCGTATGGCTCTGTATCCTGCTTCGATCTGGGTTTTAATTAGCACCATAAATGTAAGATACATGACTCTTCATCCTGGAAATCAATAAAGAGCTCTGGATTTTGGCTAGAAGGGAGGACCCAGAGGGCAGCTCTTCTGGGCTAGCAACCATACAGAGGGGAGCAAACAGAACAGGTAATACCGGGAGAGTGTATATCAGCGAGAGGAAGATGTGTGCCCACCCTTCCTTTAACAAATCCACCGAATGAACCTGTCAAAGAAGCTGGACTGGGAGAGGCTGTCATAGTCCTTCTCCCGGAAGATGGCTGCCCGGTCCCCCAGGCCAAGCTTCAGCAGGACATCCATGTCCACGTCGCTCCCCAGAGCCACCACTGTGGGCATGACATCTTGCTTCTTCATGGAGTTGATGGCCTCCTCCAGGTTCTTGCTTCCTGTGATGCCGTCGGTGATGAAGACGAAGGAGAGCTCGGCGTTGCGCCGGGCAAGCCGCTGCCCGTTGCCCGGGCTGAGCACGATGTTATTGATGGCATGGATGATGGCCGAGCCGATGTTGGAGGATGAGTCCAGGTATTTGATCTGTGCCAGGGCGTCGGCGATCTCGGTCAGGTTGTGGGTCAGCGGGAACACCACGTTCTGGTCCCGCTCGCTGCCGTACTGCAGCAGCGCGATGCGGGCGTTCATGCTGTCGCTGCTGCTGCGGGCCAGCGTCAGCCTCTGCGCCACCTCCTCCACGAAGCGGTGYGCGCTCTGGAAGTTCTGCTCCCCAATCCTTTCCGAGCCGTCCAGCAGGAACACCACATCAACGGGGCGCTGGGTGCACTGTGCTACGGCAAGCTCTGCCAGGGGAAGAAGACAGGATTTGGGAGGATAAGAAGACTATGGGATAATYTGGGTTGGAGATGCCTCTGTACATCCTTGTCCAGAGGACCAGCTCAACCCTGCTGCCAAAGCCTGTCTTTGCAGGTCGTAATGGAGGAGCTTTGCTTTTGATGCCCTCAGCTCCTCTGCATATAATAAATGTGCACTCTGGGATCAATCACAGACTCTCATGTAATTAGATAGGTGTGTGCATTGCAGTACCAGAATTACATCCACTGCCTTACATCAATTCCTGGCTCTGGCTTGTGAGAGGAACATCCAGAAATTAATGACAGGCAGCACCTGCAAACCCCTCTGTTATTACTGGGGAGTGCTTTATTTTCAGAGTAACTCTTCATAAAATCATATAATCAGAGAATCATGGAATGGTTTGGATTGGAGGGGACCCTAAAGCTCGTCTTGTTCCAGCACCCTGCAATGGGCAGCGACACCTGCCACTGGATCAGGTTGCTCCAAGACCAGTCCAATCACATAGAATACATGAAATATATGCGGTGAGTGAATTCAGGAAAGAAAAAGGAGAAGAAAATAGCTGTCTTTGGAGTCAGCTGATAGTTACTATTGCACTCCTTTTCTGTAGTTCTGTGCATCACATCTGGTGTTCCTCTGTGCTCCCCTGAGCTGGCAGCAGGGCAATGGCCATAAGCACCCTCAAGTTCTGTGGCTCTGAGACTGAATMTYSAAAGGGTGGAGTYCCGAAGATGTTGCCATGTTATYGCATGACTGGCAAGGAACAGGARCTTGTGGAGCTGCCCCACCTYCAGKATCCATTTCTGGCAATTAGGRGTGACTTTGGGGACAGGAGTGTAAYGTTASATTGAATTTCCACACTATKTGAGCAAACCCAACCTGACAAAAAGCTTCCCTGGTGTTGACTGGTGCTATACTGGGTTTAGCACAGAATCAGGGAAYCACAGATTCCTTATGGTTGGAAAAGCCCTCTGAGATCCTAAAGTCCAACCATTAACTCMGCACTATTGTTAACCACTAAACTATGTCCCTAGGCACCACATCACTTTTTTTGAACACTTTCAGGCATGATGACTCCACTGTTTCCCTGGGCAGCCTGTTTCAGTGCCTGCCCACCCTTTCAGTGAAGAAATTTCCCTTAATATCCATTCTAAATCTCCTCTTGTGCAACCTGAGGCTATTTCCTTTTGTCCTGTCACTTGTTGCCTTCCCCTCCTTTAAAGCAATAAAGGCACATACTCACCTCTGCCCGATCTTCTGTGACAAATGTTGTCTAAAGGCTGATGCTTCAGCTCCTGGCATACAGAAACTGCTGCCACAATGACACCTTGCCTTGGCACCGCCTGCACTCCTGGTCCTCATCTGCTCTGAGTGGCAGTGGAGGGGGAAWGGCAGCAAGGAATCCCCCTTGCAACCATACATGAGGGTCTGAGAGCAGCTGGAGCAGGGGCTGTATGTGGTGCTGGGCCAGTGTGAACAGCCTCCCCCAAGGCCTGCCCACGTGTACTGTGAGATGACACTGTGAGAAGCCTGAAGAGCTCATAGCTAAGCAAAGAGCGGCATCACTCCACACAGCTTCAGCGAGAGCATGGTGCACATCTGACAGGAGCACTTCCCAGAGACACATTGTGCGTGCTGCTCAGCCCCCACAGCTGGAGACAGCTGCCTTCCAGCTGTTTGATAAGGTKCCTTTACACATGAATTATCCGGGGAATGTGAGGCAGCACAGCCTTGGCTTTGTCCTGCTCAGTGTCAGGCTCTGGCTGCAGCTTGTTCCCATTCCTGAGACACTGAGGAGCCCCTTTCCTGCAGCACGATTCTCATCCTCACTGGCAGAGAACCTCTCAGAGGCACTACCATCAATCAGGCCAATTAAAATCCTCCTGTTGTGTGTTTAACTGCTGCATTGATCCTTTCCACGTGGATCATGAAYGCCTGCAGCTCACCTCACTGCACAGCTAACAAAGGCAGCACAAAAAAGCAGAAATACCATTGATTTTTCTGCGATTAGTGTGCAGAGTAACCCCACCCATTCATACCACCTTCCTGCTGCTTCTAAAACCTGAGGAACTTGTATTTCCTCTATTCTTTCACAGTGTTGGCAGTGGAGATGAAAGTGAGGTGGGGACTGACCTCCCAGCCCTTTCTGGGGTTTCTCCCTTTCCCAGCCCCTCCTGTGTCTTCGGGGAGGTGTGGACCATCCTTTACCCAGCCCTTTTTCTCTGTCCTTCRTTTGCCCAAGAGCTTCACTGAAGGAACTGCTGCTGTGCTGAAATCCATCTGGTTTTATGAACGAGATTAGCTAGGATTATGCTAAAAAAACACTACTCAAATACTGCCCAGAGAGACATTTTCTCCCTCTCCCCACATCTAATGAAGCTGAAGGTTTTTGAGAGGGTTTTTGTTTTGTTAGGAATAGCTACTGTGTGATGAAATTAAATAAAATCAACATCCAGTTTGCGGAAATCTTCCCCAATCCTGTCTTTGTTCAGCAAAGTGTCCAAGCCCTGAGTTCTTTTTAAATCAATGGAGTTTGGGAGCTTTTCCTCTGGCATCATGCATGGAGCAGCCAGCTTAACTATTCTGAGTTCAGCCCTGCATCCCAGCAGGCTAAATCACACTAATTTTGGGGTAAAAATCAAAACAGAATATGGAGTTTGGCCTTGCACAGAYTATCTGGAATATGTGAATTATGACCAGACTCAGGCACAGGCTGATCTTTTTGCCTACAGCTAAAACACGGAGCACACCATGCAAAGCGCTCAGAACTCTTTTCCCTCTATTCTACACCGAGAGCAGCAGAGGTCTCTGAGCAACGTGTCTCTGTAGGCTGGGAGGAAAAAATGCTGAAACCCCAGGGAAACTGCAGTAAGTTCAAAGTGGGCAAATGCCATGGCTGAGCTTGGCAACTGGCTCCATTCTTTATACCTGGAAATATTACAGCCGTGTTCCTGAAGATGGCACATCTCACTTCTGCCCATTAGATATGACATTTGCTCTGTATATTTTATTGCATTAATACCATGTCAGTCAGAGTAAGCGCTTCTACTCCTGTGTCTGCACATGAAATTCCACTACCTCTAAATACAGCTTGAGAGCGGTTAAACTGGAGGTGGCAATGGCACTCGCCTGCCTGACTTTGTGCAAACCAGGGGCTGATGGGGATAGCAGGTCTTGTCTGAACACACATCCCTGCAGCKCAGGTGGTGGCTCTGTGGTCCCTGAGCCAAACCAGCACTGGGTATGGATTCAGTAGGCCCTACTGCATCAAACTTAAGTACTTGCTTTTAAGCAGCTCACATCAGTCAAGGAGTTTTTCCTTTGGCCACCTGGCCCTATGTAACAGAATATCTGTCTTTTGGATAGGGACAGGTGCATGTTGTGAATTAAGACAGAGGAAACACAAAGGTACAAGCAGAGGAAAAGGCCAGGGGAGCCCATACGGCTTCTGAAAGAAGCAATGCCCAGGTGTCAGCCCTCCGAATAAAAAGGAAGGGTTGCTCCCTCTCCCATCCTGCTTGCTCCTTCCCTCCACACCCCCAGCTGCCCACGAGGGATTCCACAGAAGTGCTGTGGTGAGCAGGAATGCACGTTGCTTAGTCAGCTTTGCAGATTCCCAAGAGAGCCCATGAGAGAAAGGATGCAGAAGATGCTTCAGAGGGACTCAGCAAGGACATACATAAGAAGGAGTGGGGAAAAAGCATCGTTAGGCTCTCGGCAAAAAAGCAGCAGGCAAAGCAAGAGCATCCCTTGGCATTGCTGGGAAAAGCCACATGCTCATCAGCTGGCCAAGCTGGAGGGGACTGCTCCTCGTGTCCTGTCCCTGGCTGAGTGCAACCAAGCCATTCCACTGCTGTGTTCCTCCTAAACTGAATGTGTCTCCCCACATATTGTCCCCTCTGGCACATAGGAGCGATGATTTCCACCTCCACTCAACCTCTGCCTCCACGTGACCCACAACAGCAGTCTCAGCACAGCCCTAGCACGGTCTCTGGGTCCCCCACAATCTCRCTGTGCACCATTTTGAAGGTGTCAATGAACAAGTCCATCCACTCTTGCCGCTCATTTCCAGTGGCAAACTTGGCTTTTTCGGCGGTAAAGGCCAAAGTGGCCACCAGCTGGGTGTACACGCTGGGGTCCCGGGATTCCCGCGTGGAGTTTAGGAACTGGGCGATCGAGTGTATGGTGCTGGGGATATTTATGTTGACTCCCTCTTCCATGGGGCGGAAAATAAGTGGGTTAACACTCCCAGGGTTCCTGTCATCTGCAAGTGAGTGTCAAAAGAATATTTTCAGGGCTTGCTAGCAATGGCTGCATCTCTGAAAGCTACCTGGCTTTGCTACCTGCACTGCAACAGAAAAGAACAGAGCTAACAAAGACAGAGTAGTAAAGACCAAAGCCAGATTTTAAATCCTTCTGCCATTTGTGTTTGAGGAATGCGGGATTTGCCCTGAAATCTTTCACATGTCAACTGAGCGACTTCAGAAAATTACACAAAACCTTCACTGCCCAGTTCCTACTGATACAGCACAGGCACGACGGAGAGAGAGCAGTGCTCAGGAAGAAGGCCACTTCCTCCTGCAGATGGACTTCAGCCATCCTGAACAGGCCACAGGACTGTGCTATGTGCAAACTGCACTCATGGTGCTGTAAGGCAGACAGACATCTAAGGGACACAATATGTGACCTCCTTGCCTGGCACTCAGCCTCAGGGCACTGACTCCTGTCAAAGCTGTGGGGTGTCTGTGCTTGTCAGGACCCTGAGARCCTCCATCTGCACCTGGCTGTGCTGAATTTAACTTTGAATAAACCCCAAAGCTCAAAGCAAAGCCTTCTGCGTGGGTTAGCGAGAGCCTCACAGGATGTTACGCTGTTTCTAGGAAGCAAGTGGTCAGTTCAGATTTGCTCAGCATTCAATCCTCTTAGCATTTTGTTAGCACAGCAATACCTGAGAAGGGAGACAAGGGGCTGTCCCAAAAACGGAAAAATCTCAGGTAAAGCACTGAGGCAGCATCAGGGGAAGAGAAGGTGTATGTGGCACTGTCCCTGTCTGTGCTGGGCTGGCAATGCCCAGGTGAAGCTAGAGCACAGTTGATTTGCCCCTGAAAGCGCCAGGACCACATCCTGAGCCACGAGGCCAAGAATGGGGCTGCGTGTGGCTGCCTCTCTGAGCTGAGTGTGCCTGGCCAGCCCGTGGCTCACACATTGGATGTGCACCAGCTCACTCCCTTCCCTCCCAAGGGCACCATCTCCATCCACAGGATCTGCACAGGAACTGGCATGAGCTCACCATACGTCCTATGAGAACCAGAAGAAGCCAAGCACCTAGCAGAGAAGCCCCAGGCTCTGTCACATGCCTTATGTCCCAACCAACATGTTCCCTTGCCACTTGGGAAGAGTGACCACTGCAAATGCTTCTAAAYGATGACGGCAGCGCAGCACGGACCATCCAATGTGTTGGGAGGGCAGCTCCTTGMCCAAAGACTCCTGAACCTCTACCTGCTGCTAAAACTGTGATCTACCAGACCCAGCACAACTTTTGCTGGTGCTCAGTGGGCACTGTGACAGGAGGCCAATGCTATCCAGCCTCATCACTCCACCTCCCACATTCCCTGGGGCACAGGTTTTTCCCGCACTTGCCCCAGTCTGCATATGGGATGGCTTAAGGGATTCAGCCAAGAGGAAATCCCTCCAGATGCCTCCTCAAACCATTCCAGTCCCCATGGCTGCCAGGTATCAGCAAACTGTTCTCACCTTGCATCAGAAACAGGAACACCCAGCTGCACTACAAGGAAAGGACTGACAGCTTTGGAGGGCTTTGATGGCCCAAGCCTGGGACAAATGAGTGTGCCACTGCTTGGGTTCCTCAGAAATGAGAAGGCTGCAAAGACCAAAACCTTTGAAGACACCTGAGCAATCACCAGTGTTGCCTGGGGATGCCACATCCTTGTGCACAGATTCACAGGACAAAGCTCCTCAGAGGACAYGGCAGAGAAGCTCAGCATCAAGGCTGGACACTGCCCCCTGCATGGTCAGGTGCAAATACTCAAAATAGCAGCAAGAGATTTTAGACAGGAATMATTACAGATTTTTCTCCAGATTTCTGTGCATCCTAGGACCAGCTTTCCTTTCCTTGGCATGGAAATGAAGGGACTTAATTAAAAATGAAATTTGATATTCTGTATAAGGCTCAATTGAAGCTGGGGACTGCCATAAAAATATTCATGGGAAAAGAAGAGATAAGAATTGCAGAATGGGCAAAACTTTGGTTGTCTACAAACTTTGTGTATGAGCACAGAGTGCATCTGTTGTATCTAAACAGACACMGGGACTCACACAGACAGAGGATCTCTTAGGAACATGGATACACATCCGCCCCTTAACAGGAAAATGTGACCGTGTAAAGCTACCTTCAGCACGGAGCAGCTGTCTCCTTGATACCAAAAGATCCTTACAGCCTTCTCCTTTAATCCAACACCCTGAATTAATTGTTAATTAAATACAGCCAGCGTTAGAGAAGCCAAAGCTTTGGGTCCACTACATTGCCATTTTCCAACTGATCCCTGATGCCTGCTCTGCCCATCACTCCCAAAGAGCTACAAAGGTCACAGGAGTGGGAGTTTAGCAATGGGTGCCTGACTTGAGATTGGAGGTCAAAACCTGGCACCTCCCACGAATTTGGACAGGGAAAAATACCAGAGATGAGCCATGCTGGTGCACTCACATGGTGCACTTGTACCTACCTGTGCAGAGAACTCAGACAGGAAAAGAGCAAGAGATGAAACCCTGGACCCTCTCCTCATGTAAAGTAACACTATTTCCCAAACTCCTGCCTTTCAAAAGGAATAAGCAGGGTGGCATCCCCCTGTCTTACTCTTGAGCCTGGTGCAGTTTCCCCCAGAGTTTGGGCAGATGGCATAAAGCTGTGTGTAATGTTTACCTGTCTGACAGGGCAGCTCGGGACAGACGACCTGTGGATCTGGAAGGAAAAGAAACAAGGAAAGCTGAGCTGTGTGTGGCCATCCCCCTTCACAGCCTGCACAGTCAGAGGGGCAGGATAAGGCCTCTTACAAGGAACACCAAAGGGCTGCCCCAGAAGGCCAGTCTGTATCTGAGGAAGGACTCTTAGTCCAGGGCTACCTGAAGGTCAGACCCCACCATGGACAACCCAGCTACCAGYCATCCTGCAGGGACACATCTCTGCCCCCCACCCCAAACCCTGGGGCTCAGAACTCCAGTTCCACGCAAAGACAGGGACACACCTGGGCAGAGTACATCTTCCATCTTGTCAATGAATTCCTCTGCCACCAGATCTGAGAAGAGCCTCATCTTCTGGACTCGCTGGGGCTCGTTGCAGGCGATGGACACCAGTGTCTCACTCTGCTCCGGCTGGTCGAACATGTCCCCTATGCCGATGGTGTTGACCACCACATCTCTACCACAAAGAGCCCCCAGGTTCTTGTCATCGTCCCGGGGGTCGTAGCGCCCGTCTGTGATCACCACAGCGAACACTTGGGCCTTCTCTCTCCTGCTTTCCTTGATGAGCTTGTTGTAGGCAAACTGAAGGGCAGACGGTGTCCAGGTGCCTCCAGCGATCCACTCCAGGCGCTTCACCGCTTCCTTGAAGCTCGACAGGGAATCGATGCGCTCGTCATCCAGCTTGATGGCTTCAAAAGTYCCCTCGTGGCTATACTGCACCACCCCAACACGGGCACCTGCCAAGGAAGGGTCACATTACTGGGCTTTGCATCCTTGGRGCAAAGTGGAGAAAATCAAAGGGCTGCCCAATTGGTCTGAAAAGTCATGGAAAATAAACATCGTGATTGAAAAGATCCGAGACTCTTTTCCCCATGCCCCACACTGTCCCCTCAGAGTCCTGACCTGTCTGTGACTTGGGGTCCTTGGCAATAGAGCCCAGCCTGCTGACCACATTGACGACGAAGTTCTTCTCCAGAGTAAAGTTGGTGTAGCCGATACTCTCGGAGCTGTCTATGACAAACATGATGTCCAGGGCACCGCAGCGCTTCTCACAGTCTGGGGAGAGGGCAAGGAGGAGGGAAACACAGGGGTCAGTGATGCTGGGAACCCTCTGKTGACCCTCTGTCCCCATCCCTCGAGTGGCCATTCCCCTTCACTGGGGAGGGGTGACGTCAGCTCACCACAGCATCCACACGTCTCTCGCACATAGGTCATCACATCGCAGTCCTGCCAGAAAGGGATGCAGGGTGAATGCCTCTCTCAGAGGGCAAGGCTCTCCTTTCCTTTCCCACCCAGCCAGCCCTCTCCCCTCTTTCCCTGCCTCCTGTSGGAAGCCACAGGCCACCTCTGCCAGGCAGCAGCAGGACCTGATGCCCTGTTTCATTCTCAGGCTGTGCACGGCAAAGCCATTACCACCCCAGGAGGGACAGCAGCAGGGGCTACTTACAGTCAGACCGGGATCTCCTGGTGGGCCAGGGGTCCCCTGTAAGAAGAGCACAGGCATTGCAGGCACAGTTTTCCCATGAGTTCTTTTTCTGGGA